AGATTGGATGAAATTTTTGCCCACAAACCAATTAGTCAGTTAATTAATGATGATATGAAACCAAATTGAGGTACTGGTAGTCATAATTTCGAAAAGAATTGAAAAATCATACTGTCCCATACTCTGTCCCATTTTCGGTTTTTGAAGCTGAAATTTCAGGGCCGAAATTTTACAGTTTTGACCGAATTTCTGACCCGCAACCAATTAGTCAGTCAACTATAGATAGCAAATGACACGATTGGGGTGCTGGAATTTTGATTTGGGTCGGAGGAAGCTCACAGCAGAAATCTTAACAAAACGAAAAGTTGTATTTTCAAAACTCTGTCCCATTTTCAGATTTGAAAATTTGTGAACCCACAATTGACAGATTGGATGAAATTTTTGCCCACAAACCAATTAGTCAGTTAATTAATGATGATATGAAACCAAATTGAGGTACTGGTAGTCATAATTTCGAAAAGAATTGAAAAATCATACTGTCCCATACTCTGTCCCATTTTCGGTTTTTGAAGCTGAATTTTCCAGGGCCGAAATTTTACAGTTTTGACCGAATTTCTGACCCGCAACCAATTAGTCAGTCAACTATAGATAGCAAATGACACGATTGGGGTGCTGGAATTTTGATTTGGGTCGGAGGAAGCTCACAGCAGAAATCTTAACAAAACGAAAAGTTGTATTTTCAAAACTCTGTCCCATTTTCAGATTTGAAAATTTGTGAACCCACAATTGACAGATTGGATGAAATTTTTGCCCACAAACCAATTAGTCAGTTATTTAATGATGATATGAAACCAAATTGAGGTACTGGTAGTCATAATTTCGAAAAGAATTGAAAAAATCATACCGTCCCATACTCTGTCCCATTTTCGGTTTTTGAAGCTGAATTTTCCAGGGCCGAAATTTTACAGTATTGACCGAATTTCTAACCCGCAACCAATTAGACAGTCAACTATAGATAGCAAATGACACGATTGGGGTGCTGGAATTTTGATTTGGGTCGGAGGAAGCTCACAGCAGAAATCTTAACAAAACGAAAAGTTGTATTTTCAAAACTCTGTCCCATTTTCAGATTTGAAAATTTGTGAACCCACAATTGACAGATTGGATGAAATTTTTGCCCACAAACCAATTAGTCAGTTAATTAATGATGATATGAAACCAAATTGAGGTACTGGTAGTCATAATTTCGAAAAGAATTGAAAAATCATACTGTCCCATACTCTGTCCCATTTTCGGTTTTGAAGCTGAAATTTCCAGGGCCGAAATTTTACAGTTTTGACCGAATTTCTGACCCGCAACCAATCAGTCAGTCAACTATAGATAGCAAATGACACGATTGGGGTGCTTGGATTTTGATTTGGGTCGGAGGAAGCTCACAGCAGAAATCTTAACAAAACGAAAAGTTGTATTTTCAAAAGTCTGTCCCATTTTCAGATTTAAAAATTTGTGAACCCACATTTGACAGATTGGATGAAATTTTTGCCCACAAACTAATTAGTCAGTTAACTAATGATGATATGAAACCAAATTGAGGTACTGGTAGTCATAATTTCGAAAAGAATTGAAAAATCATACTGTCCCATACTCTGTCCCATTTTCGGTTTTTGAAGCTGAAATTTCCAGGGCCGAAATTTTACAGTATTGACCGAATTTCTGACCCGCAACCAATTAGTCAGTCAACTATAGATAGCAAATGACACGATTGGGGTGCTTGGATTTTGATTTGGGTCGGAGGAAGCTCACAGCAGAAATCTTAACAAAACGAAAAGTTGTATTTTCAAAACTCTGTAACGAAATATTTTCCTAATACCCAGTAATCAATATCAGTATGACTATGAGTATGGGCATGGCCGCTTCCTTAAGGGGGGGGGGGGGGGGGGGGGGGGGGGGGGGGGGGGGGGGGGGGGGGGGGGGGGGGGTGTAAGAACAATAGGTAATTTTTTTGAAACTTTATTTCGAGATAGCTATTTAAATGTGGATACTAAGACAAAAATACCCCAAAAAATGAACAAAATTGCCAGTATCTTCGTTCGCGATATTCGAGGAATAGATTTCATTAATTTGGAAATAACTCAATCAGTTTTCAAAATTTTTGCATGAAATTTTCGGAATCGACTCTAAATCGCATTTCCACCTTATTCTAGCAAGCCGATTTTTGATTTAGGCCTCCAAAAAAATTTGGCGGCCAAATTCGAAAATTTGCCTGGCAAAATTCAATCAAAAATATTGATATTTGACCAATTTATGGGACGAAATCTACCAAATTTGATGCGTATGCCAAAATATGGGCATATGGTTTTTTGCTCATAACTCAGTCATTTTTTGTTTCAATCTTGACGAAATTTCATATACGAGCTCAGGAGACCACTAGCTACAAGTAGTGCACCTTCAACCTGGGTTTTGGGCATGTTCAGGGTATTTTGCTAAAGTGGGCCTAATTTGGACCAAATATGGACCAAATATTCGGTCACTGGTCCTAGTTTGTTGGTCAACTGCTATCTCGAAATCAAGTTTCACAAAAAATTATCCATTGTCCCCCCCCCCCCCCCCCTTAAATTGTATATCTAACAGTGCAGTATACAAAAAAAATTGTCCAAATGCCTAAATTTAAAGTAAGTATAATTTACAAATCCTCTGTGATACATGATACAAATATTAACCATATTTAATCAAATCATTTCATTGACTCATTTGGTCGATATTGTCTGAAGATGTCAACGACTTCTGATTCTTGCCTATTATTATATGGAGATCAATGATGTACACAATAGACTAACAAGCTAGGTAAATAAGTTACTGTACAAACTGAATATAAAATAAAATACCATTAATATCATACACTGCATAGATTCAATTAGTTATAGCTGCTGAATAGTAGATCAAATATTGCACAGTTCTATAAAACTATAAGTATAACTAAGAAATAGATAAACCAAACCTCTCCCATCTCTAGCATAGTTTTTTTCCAATTGTTGAGTTCGGAATTTTCCTTAAATATTAATGGCGCGCATTATATCTCCACAGAAAGCACATCCAATTTGATACGTATGAACTTGCTTTTATGCTTTTATGCACACAAGTTTTATTAACATTTAAAATATTATATTTGATTTTATTTCCACTTCGTGATATTGTAACGCTGTTAAATTTTAAGATTTTACTTTCATACTTTTATTCGGCTTTTGTTTTATATCTGAACGTATTTATGAATTGATGTATAGCCAAAACGAGTTCGTTAGTGTTCTCCTTGGTAATTTCATGTTTAATTCCTGTTTAATTCCGTATGAAATAGTTTTATAACTTGCTTGATTCTAACGTGTTTGAACGGGGAATCACTTTCGAGAAAGTAAGTGGTAAATCCATTAACAATGGACAACAAAAGTTACTCACGCTATTGTGCTCTTCTTGGAGAAATAAGACACAAGCTACTCACGCTATTGTGCTCTTCTTGGAGAAATAAGACACAAGCTACTCACGCTATTGTGCTCTTCTAGGAGAAATAAGACACCAGCTACTCACGCTATTGTGCTCTTCTAGGAGAAATAAGACACAAGCTACTCACGCTATTGTGCTCTTCTTGGAGAAATAAGACATAAGCTACTCACGCTATTGTGCTCTTCTAGGAGAAATAAGACATAAGCTACTCACGCTATTGTGCTCTTCTTGGAGAAATAAGACACAAGCTACTCACGCTATTGTGCTCTTCTTGGAGAAATAAGACACAAGCTACTCACGCTATTGTGCTCTTCTAGGAGAAATAAGACACAAGCTACTCACGCTATTGTGCTCTTCTAGGAGAAATAAGACACAAGCTACTCACGCTATTGTGTTCTTCTAGGAGAAATAAGACACAAGCTACTCACGCTATTGTGCTCTTCTTGGAGAAATAAGACACAAGTTACTCACGCTATTGTGCTCTTCTAGGAGAAATAAGACACAAGCTACTCACGCTATTGTGCTCTTCTTGGAGAAATAAGACACAAGCTACTCACGCTATTGTGCTCTTCTAGGAGAAATAAGACACAAGCTACTCACGCTATTGTGCTCTTCTAGGAGAAATAAGACACAAGCTACTCACGCTATTGTGCTCTTCTAGGAGAAATAAGACACAAGCTACTCACGCTATTGTGCTCTTCTTGGAGAAATAAGACATAAGCTACTCACGCTATTGTGCTCTTCTAGGAGAAATAAGACACAAGCTACTCACGCTATTGTGCTCTTCTTGGAGAAATAAGACACAAGCTACTCACGCTATTGTGCTCTTCTTGGAGAAATAAGACACAAGCTACTCACGCTATTGTGCTCTTCTAGGAGAAATAAGACACAAGCTACTCAAGCTATTGTGCTCTTCTAGGAGAAATAAGACACAAGCTACTCACGCTATTGTGTTCTTCTAGGAGAAATAAGACACAAGTTACTCACGCTATTGTGCTCTTCTTGGAGAAATAAGACACAAGCTACTCACACTATTGTGCTCTTCTTGGAGAAATAAGACACAAGTTACTCACGCTATTGTGCTCTTCTTGGAGAAATAAGACACAAGTTACTCACGCTATTGTGCTCTTCTAGGAGAAATAAGACACAAGCTACTCACGCTATTGTCCTCTTCTTGGAGAAATAAGACACAAGCTACTCACGCTATTGTGCTTTTCTTGGAGAAATAAGACACAAGTTACTCACGCTATTGTGCTCTTCTAGGAGAAATAAGACACAAGTTACTCACGCTATTGTGCTCTTCTTGGAGAAATAAGACACAAGCTACTCACGCTATTGTGCTCTTCTTGGAGAAATAAGACACAAGTTACTCACGCTATTGTGCTCTTCTTGGAGAAATAAGACACAAGTTACTCACGCTATTGTGCTCTTCTAGGAGAAATAAGACACAAGCGTTTTTAACTTTAAGTTTGTTGTTCTCTTTCAGAATGACATCAATAACTGCTCTTGCTGCCCCCCCCCCCCCCCCCCCCCCCCCCCCCTGACATAATAACAACAAAACGGCTGCGTTGGTTTGGACATGTCAGTAGAATGCATGAACTATCTACTTGAATGGAAACCCAAGCATGGGAAGAGATCAAGAGGTAGGCCTAGGAAGAGCTTAAATGATGTATTTATTGAGGATGCTGAGCAGATATTGGAACGATTGATTGTATGAGAAGATTAGCTGCAGACCGAAAGGGATGGAGAAATGTTACCCGCCGAAGTTGTATAATACAAAGTAATGGCGCAGTCGACGCAGACTAATCCTTTATTTTGGATGGAGATCTCGCCATGTAACATGTATGTATGTATGTTTTCTTTCAAAAGTATTTCGAGTAATTTATTGCACCCAATAAATTAGGTGGTTAGGTAAAGTGATTTATATAAGTGCATTTATTGATTCTCAATATATTGCAAAAAGTTTGGTCTCGATTCACGAAGTTTAAAAGAAGTTACACTCGCCATTAGTATATATGGGGAGTGAGCTTTCTGTGGAGATATAAACTGCAATATTAACTGAGGATAATGATAACATGTCATCTTAGTTGGTGGAAATTATGATTTGTGATAATCATTAATTAGCGATCGTGATTAAACAAAAAATAATACATCAAATTAATATCTCTTATATTAATCATATATCATACGCAACCACTTATTACTGAACTACAAAAAGTCTACTTATCGACCCCATATTAGGTCCCACAAAATATATAGAGGATGTCTATTTCTCGACCCCACCAGCAGCGACGATATCCCTGACAACCCGAGCACACATCCACAAACATCTTGCAACGTGAAAACAACCTGTGGTAAAAGAAGATGACAGAAAAGTTCTTGAATTTTGCGGACGGTACCATCTAATATTAAGACTTAAAGTGAAAGTGCTGGTACCAGCACGATCGTCCGCCATTTACAATTTAAATAATTAATTTGAGGGGGGGGGGGGGGGGGGGGGGGGGGGGGGGGAGGTAGCAGACCAACAAACTTGGACCAGTGACCAAAACTTTTGAGGGGATCCCAGACCCCAACCGCCAAACGGTGCCTACGGGGCAGCCACCACCCGTAGGCACCGTTTAGGTCTCAAATCAAGTTTTACTATTATACCCCTCTTTACTTTTCTTAAAACCTTTTACTGGTACTAGTAGTAGTATTTCCCCCTTTCTAGTATACTCTATTTATCATCATATCCCTTTACTCCCCTTTACTAATTAGAAACAAATTTAACGGACTTTTACCTGGACGCAGTGGCGTAACGAAGGGCCCCGCTGACCACAGTTTTGCTAGTATCTCAGTTAACTTTTTCAAAATTGTCCCACATTCAAACGACGATTTTTGATCTGCTTTGCGGCCTGGTTATTCCGCAGCCTGGTGCATGGACTGGGCCAGGCTTCTTGGATACTGCTTTATATCTAACTTAAGAGTTCTACAAACCTTTATCTGGACCACCTTTAAACGTGTGTGTAACTCGTCCTTCGTTATCAGCGTACCCGTACCACTCACCATGCCCTGGCTCCCGGAACTGAAGAAAGGTTGTGTCAGATACTTCTGGGAACTGAAGTGATCGAGTGCTTCAAAAAAGAGGGACTAAACATTATTTTAATCATAAATATGCCAAAAGTAGATGTTAAAGGAGTACATAATAGCAAAGTATAAAGAAAGGGAATGTATGTGCAAACTCCAGTATAAAGAAAGGGAATGTATGTGTTGCAAACTCCAGTATAAAGAAAGGGAATGTATGTGTTGCAAACTCCAGTATAAAGAAAGGGAATGTATGTGTTGTAGCAAACTCCAGTATAAAGAAAGGGAATGTATGTGTTGCAAACTCCAGTATAAAGAAAGGGAATGTATGTGTTGTAGCAAACTCCAGTATAAAGAAAGGGAATGTATGTGTTGACGACAACATAGCCCCAATGAAACGATCCTGATCAAATTTTATTACGGTTCTGTAGCAGTGTTCCGGGTCGGTTTGATTGATTGAAATGATTGAAAGCCCCTCGTAAGGGGGTTGTCTCTAATGGACTAATTTATTGATTACAATCATAATTATAATAAGTTAAAAATAAAGACCCCAATGGGCACTCCTGAAAACATAACTACTAGAAAATATATCAAAACTAAATAGAAAAAAACTGAGGACAAATGTGATAAAACCGCAACAAATTGCAAAAAATAGAAAATACATTTTGGATTCGTTATTTAATGGCACGCAGCAGAAAATTGTAATAAAAGTCAAGCAAACGTTATTTTTCCACAAATCACGGTTACAAATGGGTTTGAGATTGAGTTTCAAAATTGATTTCACTGTACGACAAACATATTCTCTTTAAAAATTTACAGATTATAAACATAGCATTGATTTGGTTTGGTATAAAAGTGATAGAAAACAAATTTAAAACTTAATTCTGGACGTTGGATTTAGCCCCAATTAGCAGCAAAAACAGTTAGGAATTTCTGTTTCTTGTGGAGCTACGGAGGCCGCTGATTTTGTGGATGAGAAATTTACTCGTCATTTACACAATCATCCCCCTTCTGCAGCTTCAGTATTGCTTTCTTACATTGTGATTTGAACGCCTTCAGCGATTGGCATGACACTGAATTGAATGCTTCGTCTATCGATGCGTCTACAAATAGGAGTGGGCCGTTGAAGAATATTGAATTTCTATGTGTGGTAGTATTGCAGTGTAAAATCCGGATTGGAGTATTGTTTATGAGTCGCATGGTTGCAATGTATTCTGTGTAAAATTATCTTTATCCCGGTTGTTGCGACAAGTGAAAATGCTCTTATTAGGGAAAGGAGTTTACTCGACGTTTCAATGTAACTACATCGTATTCATGATCTCAAATTATTTGTTATATAGTAGTGTTGAAAGTATTTTAGTATTGCAGTCATTGAACCATTCATAGTTAGCTTCAGTGATAACTTCTGACTTAGGAACCTGTGCCAATGTGCCAGGTAACTACTGGAAGTACATAAGGAATGTATAAAAGGAATGTATAGAAGATATGTATAGAAGGAATGTATAGAAAGAATGTATAGAAGGAATGTATAAAAGGAATGTATATAAGGATTGTATAGAAGGAATGTATAGAAGGAATGTATAGAAGGAATGTATAGAAGGAATGTATAAAAGGAATGTATAGAAGGAATGTATAGAAGGAATGTATAGAAGGAATATATACAAGAATGTATAGAAGGAATGTATAAAATGAATGTATAGAAGGAATGTATAGAAGGAATATATACAGGAATGTATAGAAGGAATGTATAAAATGAATGTATAGAAGGGATGTATAGAAGGTAGCCGGTCATGTGTCCACTGTCCAGTAACTCGGCAACTAGCTAATTAAACTCGGAAACAAGTCCCGACAACACACACTTGCTGTTGTGCTCTGTTTTTAACATTTACTCTCGCTGTCCGCCTACTTTGTACTGGATGGCACTCATCCGATGGTTTTAACATTTACTCTCACTGCCCGCCTATTTTGTACTGGAATCTGGATGGCACCCATCCGATGGTATCTAGTCCGTCACCACATCTGTTGCCAAGGAAACTTTATATTTCTTATCAACAATTGATCTTGCTACAGGGCAACTTCAAGTGACAGTAGCTTGGGAAAATGATTATAAACCCAATTAGCTCACCTTGTTAGCTTTGAAACGACAACTTCACCCAATCATTACTAGAAATCTAGAGGTCATATGAAAATTAAACAGGCTTCCAAATGTAGCTCTAGTTTAGCTGCTTCCTGGTTTCTACTGCTATAATTTTGGAGACAATATTACATAAATGAATTTTTGTCCCCTTTTTTCTTCCGTCCGTTTTCTTGATTAAGGGGGGGGGGGGGGGGGGGGGGGGGGGGGGGAGGTTGGGGGCGCCAATGGATATTTTTTTATGAAACTTGATTTCGAGAAAGCAGTTGACCAACAAACTAGGACCAGTGACCGAACTTTTGAGGGGGTCCCCGGTCCCGGACCCCAACCGCCAAACGGTGCCCGTGGGGCAGCCACGCCCATATTTGGTCCAAATTAGGCCCAAATTAGCCAAATACCCTGAACATGCCCAAAACCCAGATTTTAGGTGCTCTACTTGTAGCTAGTGGTCTCCTGAACTCGTATATGAAATTTCATCAAGATTGGACAACAAATGACTGAGTTATGAGCCAAAAACCATATGCCCATATTTGGGCATACGCACCAAATTTGGTAGATTTCGTCCCATAAATTGGTCAAATATCAATATGAGACTTACTTTATATGAAAGGTAAGCCTAAACTACATATTCTCTGTAAGTTATAGCTTTATATCTGTTTAAATGTGGATACTAAGGCGAAAAGACCACCAAAAAAGAACTAAATTGCCCGTATCTTGGTTCGCGATATTCGCGGAATTGATCTCATTAAAATTGTAACAACTCAATCAGTTTTCAAAATTTTTCCATGAAATTTTCGGAATCAACTCGAAATCGCATTTTCATCTTATTTTGAGAACAGATTTTTGATTTAGGCCTCAAAAAAAATTTGGCGGCCAAATTCTGAATTTTCCGGGAAAATTTACCTTTCATATAAAGTAAGTTTCATTCAAAAATATTGATATTTGACCAATTCATGGGACGAAATCTACCAAATTTGGTGCGTATGCCCAAATATGGGCATATGGTTTTTGGCTCATAACTCAGTCATTTGTTGTCCAATCTTGATGAAATTTCATATACGAGTTCAGGAGACCACTAGCTACTAGTAGAGCACCTAAAATCTGGGTTTTGGGCATGTTCAGGGTATTTGGCTAAATTGGGCTTAGTTTGGACCAAATATGGGCGTGGCTGCCCCACGGGCACCGTTGGGCGGTTGGGGTCCGGGACCCCCTCAAAAGTTCGGTCACTGCGTCTAGTTTGTTGGTCAACTGCTTTCTCGAAATCAAGTTTCACAAAAAATACCATTGGACCCCCCCCCCCCCCCCCCCCCCCCCCCCCCCCCCCCCCCCCCCCCCCCCCCCCCCCCCCCCCCCCCCCCCCCCCTTTAAGCCGTTCGGAAATTACCCACAGACAGACAGACAGACAGACAGACAGACAGACAGACAGACAGACAGACAGACAGACAGACAGACAGACAGACAGACAGACAGACAGGACAGACAGACAGACAGACAGACAGACAGACAGACAGACAGACAGACAGACAGACAGACAGACAGACAGAACATCTTGAGATTATTAGTATAGATATAATTTTGCCAAATTATAAAATAGGCCGACCTCCTGAAAATTAGACCACCATTCTTACCCACATTTGAGAAACTGTTTACCCTAGAAAAATGCAATTATCGTTAGGAAATCGATCACCAGTGTCCAGTGATATTATAGTCCAGTACCGAAAAAAAAAATCATGTTCACAGCTGGTTTCAATTATCTTATTCTATATGATAATATATATCGACGGTACAATGCGGCTACTCGGTAACTATGTATTATCACCGTAAGTGATATCCGTTCAATAATGAATCAAGCGATTTTGACGAGTGAGTTTTACAGTGGCGTAACCTTGCCTGTTGGCGCCGCCCGCTGAAAAAGCGCCCCCCTTTTGGCGCCCCTCCCTAAAATTGAACAAATTAGACGATTTTAGAGGATACGACGGTAAAATCTCTTAAAAAGTGTTTCGGTACCGTAGTTAAGTTTTTCGAAATTGTCCCATAATCAAACGACGATTTGGCGCCCCCCAAGATTGCGCCCCCCCCCCCCCCGCACAGCGGGGTCGGCGGGCCCCTTCGTTACGCCACTCAGTTTTATTGTCAAAATAGCATTACAATATTATTGATTATATTTATACACCTGCCTGAAGAGCATAATTAATAACGACACTTTTATTTACACAACTGCCGTTGTAAAATACCAATTAATATCTCAATAGTAATTATGATTCTAGATGATTAACTCATTATACCAACAAGAAATGCGGCCGCTTTTCTTTTGTGGGTGGCCGCTCAATTTCCCAATCCGTGATGGCTTATTTTATTATGTTCCATGCAACTTGGGTCCTCAGTCTTTACTGTTTATAAGCACTAGCAGGAACCTGTATAACCCTAAAATGGTGTAAAGACTCAAGAGACTAAAATAATTATTACCTATTTAATTCGCGTTTTTGACACCGCTTGGGGGTCCAAATTTTGGGCTCTAAGCTCCTATTCCTTGGCCAATTTTTTATTTTTTCATGCTGATTTGAAAAGCATAAAAGCATTTCACCCAGTCAAAAAAGTTTCAGTTGTATATCTTTTACCTATTTTGCGGAAAGTCGCGTTAAAGTTGATGCCGTGGTGTCAGTAAAATAGTTAGTACTAGTATCTGCAATATTTAGTACTAGTATCTGCAATATTTAGTGCTGGTATCTGCAATATTTAGTACTAGTATAATATACAATAATTAGTACTAGTATATGCAATATTTAGTACTAGTATATGCAATATTTAGTACTAGTATCTGCAATATTAAGTATTACTATCTGCAATATTTAGATCTAGTATCTGTA